GGAAAGCCGGGTGCATCTACTTGGATTTCTTGCAAAACTGGAGAATTCGATTGATGATTAAATCGTGCATTAAGCTAGAGAATTTATCATTGATGGGTTAACTTGTCAAAGGTATCTTTTCTTTCTTTTTGTTTTATGTATTCATATGTGTCTGCTTCAGGTTTTCTGGCTTTTCCCAGATATAATGGACAAATAATATTACGCAAACAGAATGTTGATTTGCTATAGGGGTATATTGCAAAATGATGACCACCATGTCAGCTAACACCGCCACACATACATAATTACCATTTCTTCTAAAGTGACCCATCTGAACACCACCTTCATGGGAGCAGAACTTGACCTGTTCTATCTCCACACTCAGCTCTTGCACTTAGAAGCTAAATAAATATTGTTGAATGCATAAAGCATTTTCTGGGACCCTAGAGTAGGGGATAGCAGGAGAGACCACAAGCCAAGCAGCCCAGGATGAGAATGGTGCAGCATCAACATGTCTGCAAGCCTCGGCCTCTCTCTTGGCAGCAGTTTGTAGCATAGAGACCGCGTCAAGGCCTTTCCTTGTTCAGGGTTTTCATCGTGGATTTGTGTTGTGATAATTGTTATTCAGACCCCAAATCAACAGCAATGGGACTTAGAAGTGGTAATTGACTTGAGTAATTGGATGAGATCAGTTCAGGTGATCTCCAAGGACCCAGCGTCCTGGTTCCTCTGTATGTGAGCTCTAGGGGAATTTTGATGAGCTGATGGGGTTTATGTTTCTAGTTTATGTTGGGGGGTAAAAGAGGAAGGATGAGGAAGGTGCATCCAATGTCCCAGCCTTCTAGAGTAGGAAGCCATGTCTTTTTTTTTTTTTTACATTTTATTTTTTTACATCATTCTTCATTTTGTGCATCTTTTTCAGCTCAGTTGCAATCCCCCTGGGGGAAGCCATGTTTTCATGGACTGAACTGAAATCGAGTCGTTAGGGTGCAGGTGATCATGATGATGACCGTGATGATGGTGGCCATGGTGGCGACTGCAGCTGAGGGACCAAGTAATGGGGGTTTCTCTTCTGCTGGGCCCCAGGCCCTTTTTTTTTTTTTTTTAATAGACATCTCATTTGTTGGTGATTTGCAATATTCCCATGGAGTTGTGAAGTTGCATTTACCTCCCTTCCCCAAAACCTTGGACATTTGAGTTTACAAAGCTCATATTGACATATTTTCCCCCTTGTGCCACAAAATTTCAACTCCCATTTTATAGATTAGAAAAGTGAGGTCAGAGAGGCTGAACAACTGGCCCGGGCTCCACAGCTGATGGACGGTGGGCTCAAGTTCCAGGATGAACCCCTTAGCAATGCTGAAAGGCAGATGGTTAATAACGTATTTTCAATTGAAGGGGAAAAGAAAACAAAGCCCAAGCCAACTTAGCTTCTCTGCAGCACAACACACGGTAAAGGTGTCCGAGGAGGCGCACAGCGGGTAACCATCTGGCCAGAGCCCCAAATGTTCCTAAACGATCTTACACCAATCCCAGGGGTACGCGGCAGCCTCTAGAGAAGCCACTTAACATGCAACTTTAAGCGGTTGTCCCGTTACCAGGCCTCACTCCCTCTAGTGAATTAATTTTTTTAATAAATATTGTGATTACCTGTGAGAGGACAATTATACTGTAGGACATTGCCATCTGTGGAGTGATATTTCAAACATGATGAAGCCTTTAGGCCGTCAAACATACAGGCAACCTGAAATCATCGCCCAATCTAGTGTTCTGTTTGTAAATGTTCTCATTTACTTGTAGAAATTGGAAAAATATTTTATCTAAGCTCTTTACATGCAAAGAAATAAATTCTTTTGTGGGATGGACATGTATGTGCATTATAAACAATTTTATCTCTTTCTTACCAACATTTCAAATCTGCCACCAAATTCTGTTTGGGAACTTTGTTTGTTTTATTATTATTTATTTTAAGATTTATTTATTTATGCATAAAAGAGCTGGGGTGCAGGTCAGAGGTATAGGGGGTGAGAGGATTCACCAGAGGTAGAGTGGGGAGTAGAACAGACAGATGTGCTGAAATACACTGTTGAGGGGAGCAGCGGGCATTTTAGAATATTCAGAAAGTCTCAAAAAAAAATCAGTAACTTCAGTTTTCTCAGCTTGACAGATGCTGGCCAGAATCTTCAAGGACCTCCCAGTCTGGCTAGGGAAGAAAAGGGACATGAAAAATCCAACAATGCCTCAAAAATTAAAGAATAAATCCAACCACAATGATATATCACCATACAGTTTGGATGTTCATGACCATGCAGACAAGAGATAACAAGTACTGACCAGACTGTGGAGAAAAGGGAATCCTGGTGTTCTATTTGCGTAACTTGGTGCAGCCATTTTGGAAAATGGTATGGAGGTCCCTCAAAAGTTAAAACTAGAAGTTTCATATGATCCAGCAATTACTTCTAAGTGTTTTTTTTTTAAAAGATTTATTTATTTGTGCATACAGAACTAGGGTACAGGCCAGAGGCTCAGGGGTGGCGAGAGGTTTCATCAGAGACAGAGTGGAGAGCAGAACAGGCAGATCTACGAAGTACACTGCTGAGGGGAGCAGCGGGCGGGTCAGGAGAGGTCTGCCACACCATGTGGTCATCTCCAGGGCAGGCGGGAATCGAACTCATGCTGAAGTGGCTTTAGCTTCTCAGTGCTGTGCTTTAACCCGCTGTGCCACCAGGGAGGGCCACTTCTAAGTGTTTTTCCAAAGAAAATGACATCACTAACCCAAAGAGCTGCCAGCACCCCCATATTCACTGCAGCACCATTCATAATAGCTGAGACATGGAAGCAACATGAATGTCCATTAATGCATGAATGGACTTTTTGCAAGTGTGTAAACACACACACACAGAGACAGAGAGAGGAATACTATTCAACCATATAAAAGAAGGAAATCCTGCCACTTGCTGGATGAGATGGCTGGAATTTTTGGTCATTTTACTGCGTGATGTTAAGTCAGTGAAAGACAAATACTGTAAGATCTCATTTATATGTGGAATAATAAAGAAAAATAATTCCAACCCTATGTATTTACCCTAGAGAAATGAAAGCATATTTTCACACAAAGACCTGTACACAAGTTCACGGATTTTCACACAAAGACCTGTACCGTACACAAAAAGTTTATGGCAAGTTTATTCTTAATCATCAAAGGGTGGGGAGGGAGGATCAGGAATGAATACATTACCCATGAGATGCAATACTACTTACCCTGTGAACCTGTGAGAGGGATTTGACCCTTTCCTTCTGGGAGTTCTCAATCCTTTTCCCTCCTCGACATGGAACAATTGAGGGATCTCATTATCAACCCCTGAATCTCAGAATGTCATTTGTGTTATGGACTGAATGTTTGTGGTCCACCCTCAAAGGCACATTTTGCAGCCCTAACTCTCAGTGGAATACTATTAGGATGACTAGGGCCCTTAGGAAGTCCAGCTTCGATGAAGCTGGACTTCATGAGGGTGGATCATCCAGGAAGGAGACCCCAGAACCCTCCAGAGAGACCTGAAGTCTGAAGGAGATTGAAGAAGGTCCAAGAGGAAGCTAAGCAAAGAGAGTGTGAAACAGTGTTCTAGGCAGAGGGAATAGCACATGAAAAGTGGAGGAGGTGTAAGAGAACACTTGAACCTGGGCATGCCAACATCCTCCCATAATTCTTTATCCCTCCCATAATTCTTAGTAACTCTAGGCAGGCAGCAGCAGAAAATGAGCTGGGAAAGTGTTGGGGGTAAAGGTCTCACTTCTGGGAGATGGGGCTCAGGTTTCATGGGTGTTAACTCGCAGTTCCCTTACTGCTCAGGCTTAATGCTCTGCTATCCCCACAGGGAAAAATCATCTTTTTGAACAGGGGTTGCACGTTTTCCATTTGTACTGGGTCCAAAACTGACCCTGCCTTTTACTTACACTATTTCCTTGGACAAGTAACTGAAATTCTTAAAGTCTTCCAGTCCCCGAGGTTTTACTCACAATGATAATGGAAAAGTTCCCAGGTCAGATGGCCAAGGACTTAGGCAAATGAATCTTTAGTTCGTATTGAAGGAAATGAGGTTGAAGAATATTAATACCTAATAAAAATTTTTCCCATTTTGGTGTAAATGGAGAAATGGAGAAAAGCAAATGTTTTCAGTTCTGTCCACAGAATTCAAGGGGGAAAGGTTTCTTAATGTTTTTTGCTTTGTTGCTTTTTGTTGTTTTTGCTTTGTTTCAAACAACAGTCCAATTCCATGTAAAAATCACAAACTCGTATTTGTTATTAGTTCAGTTTTTCACACAAGCCCTGCAATATTTTAATCCTTAGTTCCATGATAAATCTGGAATTGATAAATTTAGAGACCAGAAAACTAAATTTTTAGCATTTAGTGTATTGGAAAGTAAATAAACACATGACTACATTAACGAATGAAGGGACAGATACATAAAGTGTCTACAAGCTCTGGAGACTGCCCTGACTCTCTGCTTCCCTGAAGACCTCATTCCTCATCCCGGCTTGCCACCTCTCCCCAGCGCCCCCTGCCCGTTAATCGATCAGATTCCAAACAGGAATCAGAACCCAGCGCCTGGTGGTTTAGACCTCGTACTCGCTCCTGATTGACTCCGAGTCGCTCGCGATGCCTTTTAGGAAATGTAGTCTTGTAGGCTCGGAACTGCGACAAACACAGGAACTACATAACCAAACTTCCTGGAGTCCCACAAGCCGTCGCGGTGACATTGCATGACGGGAATTGTAGTCCGGAAGCGGCCCCTTTCCGCCACCATCACCTAGGAATGGGGCGATTCCCACAATGCACCGTGCGCCCGGTTCACAGCAACTGCCCCGCGCTCTTCTGGGATGTGGAGTCTTGAAACTTTCCCTGACCTAGGACCGATGGAGTGGGCCGGCCCAGAGGACTACATTTCCCAGCGCGTCCCCATTCTCCAACGGCACCAGGCCACGGCCGCCATTTTGTTCCGCCCGAAGAGACCCTAAGATGGCGGCGGGGGAGACGGTGAAGGTTGCAGTCGGCTCCTCTAGGCTTTAGCCCCCCGTCTCCCCGTCCCCCGGCGGCCAGCCCATGGCCTGGCGGAGACCCGGACCATGGACCTCCGCACCGCCGTGTACAACGCCGCTCGCGACGGCAAGCTGCAGCTGCTGCAGAAGCTGCTCAGCGGCCGGAGCCGGGAGGAGCTGGACGAGCTGACGGGTGAGGTGCCCGGCGGGGGGACGCCGCTGCTCATCGCCGCCCGCTACGGCCATCTGGACGTGGTCGAGTACCTGGTGGACCGGTGCGGCGCGAGCGTGGAGGCGGGCGGGTCGGTCCACTTCGATGGCGAGACCATCGAAGGCGCGCCGCCGCTCTGGGCTGCCTCGGCCGCCGGCCACCTGGACGTGGTGCGGAGCCTGCTGCGCCGCGGGGCCTCGGTGAACCGCACCACGCGCACCAACTCCACGCCCCTGCGCGCCGCCTGCTTCGACGGGCACCTGGAGGTGGTCCGCTACCTGGTGGGTGAGCACCAAGCCGACCTGGAGGTGGCCAACCGGCACGGGCACACGTGCCTCATGATCTCCTGTTACAAGGGCCACCGTGAGATCGCCCGCTACCTGCTGGAGCAGGGTGCGCAGGTGAACCGGCGCAGCGCCAAAGGCAACACAGCTTTGCACGACTGCGCCGAGTCGGGCAGCCTGGAGATCCTGCAGCTGCTGCTCGGGTGCAACGCCCGCATGGAACGCGACGGCTACGGCATGACCCCGCTGCTGGCGGCCAGCGTGACCGGCCACACCAACATCGTGGAGTACCTCATCCAGGAGCAGCCTGCCGGGGAGGAGGCACGGCCTGGGCTGGCCCTCGAAGGCCCGGCCGCCAGCCCAGTGTGCATGCCACCCCAGGGCGCCCACTGCTGCAGCTCCTTCCGGGAGGAACCACTCAGCGGTGAATCTTACGAAAGTTGTTGCCCCACCAGCCGGGAAGCTGCGGTGGAGGCCTTGGAATTGTTGGGAGCCACCTATGTGGATAAGAAGCGGGACCTGCTTGGGGCCCTGAAACACTGGAGGCGGGCTATGGAGCTGCGTCACCAGGGGGGTGCCTATCTGCCCAAGCCAGAGCCCCCGCAGCTGGTCCTGGCCTATGACTATTCCAGGGAGGTGAACACGGCGGAGGAATTGGAAGCGCTCATAACCGACCCCGATGAGATGCGTATGCAGGCGCTATTGATCCGAGAGCGCATTCTGGGACCTTCTCATCCGGACACTTCCTACTATATCCGGTACAGGGGTGCAGTGTACGCTGACTCTGGCAATTTTGAGCGCTGCATCCGTTTGTGGAAGTACGCCCTGGACATGCAGCAGAACAACCTGGAGCCGCTGAGCCCCATGACAGCCAGTAGCTTCCTCTCCTTTGCCGAACTCTTCTCTTACGTGCTGCAGGACCGGGCAGCCAAGGGCAACTTGGGCACCCAGGTAGGTTTTGCAGACCTCATGGGGGTGCTCTGCAAAGGGGTCCGGGAAGTGGAACGCGCCCTCCAGCTACCCAAGGAGCCTGCAGATTCCACCCAGTTCACCAAGGCCCTGGCCATCATTCTCCATCTGCTCTACCTGTTGGAGAAAGTGGAGTGCACGCCCGAGCAGGAGCACCTGAAGCACCAGACCGTGTACCGGCTGCTGAAGTGCGCCCCCCGAGGCAAGGATGGCTTCACCCCTTTGCACATGGCCGTGGACAAGGAGACCACGAACGTGGGCCGTTACCCGGTGGGCAGATTCCCCTCCCTGCAGGTGGTCAAGGTGCTACTCGACTGCGGGGCTGACCCGGACAGCCGGGACTTTGACAACAACACCCCCCTGCACGTGGCAGCCCAGAACAACTGCCCGGGAATCATGAACGCCCTCATCGAGGCTGGAGCCCACATGGATGCCGCCAATGCCTTCAAGAAAACCGCCTACGAGCTGCTGGATGAGAAGCTGCTCGCCAAGAGCACCATTCAGCCCTTCAATTATCTCACCCTGCAGTGCCTTGCAGCCCGCGCCCTGGACAAGAACAAGATCCCCTACAAAGGCTTCATCCCGGAAGAGCTGGAGGCTTTCATCGAACTGCACTGACGTTCCCAGGAGGAGAAAGCAGAGGGCGCGGCCAGCGCACACCCTCGCCTCCCTGCTGAGCACTTCTGAGGCGCCAAACTGGAGAAGGGCTGATCGGCCTCCTCAGCTCCTTCGCCTCTGCGGAGAGGGGGAGGGGTCCGCCAGCTGTTGGTGCTAGAGCCGTCGGGATCACGTGCTCGGAGAACTCCCAGGAGCCCGCACACGCACCCCTAACGGGAAAGACACAACCTTCCGCACCTGTCCTCTTGGGTGTGGGGGCCTTTGCCTTCTCACCGGGCGTGGAGGGAGCAAAGCCATTGCCTTCCTGCCCCGCGGGAAACAAGGGCAGAAGCCAGAGTTGGGTCTGGGCTCGGCCCCTCCCGTGGCCAGGCAGATCCAACCACAAGATGCAGTGTTAGGACTGGGGACTCCTGAGGTTGGAGATTCAAGACGCGAGAAGCAAGACCACCCCTCAGTGCCCAGCAGTTGCACTCTGGCCCCGAGGGTGGGTGTCCTGCCCGGGGCGGTCTGCCACCTGCATAGCTTTCAGTTGCTGCGTGTTCTGTTTTTTCGGCTGGTAGGCAGGTCACGAGCGTTACACAGGAGTCCTGAAGTTTTGCTGCCATCATTTTTTTTCCCTTAAATGGTCAGACTTGATGAGTTAATTTCATGCAGTGAGGGTTTTGCTGTGCCTGAGATGGCCAAGGCCATCAAGAGTGAGCTTTCGTGTGTGAGAAGCTTGGTGAGGGGGCTCAGAAGCTAACGTGTTGGTCCCTAGTTGAGGAGTGACTGCATTTCTTAACGTTTCACTCGATTGCCTTTGGGTTGGCCCTGCTGACTTCCCGTTCTTGTTAGAGAAGTTGCCTCCGGACAGCGCCAGGCGCGACACCAGTTTCTACAGCAGCAGCTAGCGTGGCCGCCCGGGGTCTGGCTCTTCCAGCTTCTGAGTTGACTGCAGGCCGCGTCGGCCTCATACACGCCCAGGCTGCCCAAGTGGCTCCGGCTACTTCCGTTAGCTGCCCAAGGACCCAGATCCAGGTCTTCCCGGGAAAAGCCCAAGCAGCGACCAAGTAGCTCCGTGCAGGTCAACGACGGGCCGGCCGGTGCGGCTCAGCCCTGGCCCTGGCCCTGGCCCCTGGGCAGAAGGGCTGCGCCACAGCCGGCTTCCCTGGGCCTCCCCCGCCTCGTGCGCCGGGCAGCAGGTTAGTCGTGGCCTTACCGGAGGGCAGCGGCTGCCCCCACAGCTCAGGAGAGAGGGCGCCTTGGGGAGCGTCTGACGCCTCGCCTGCAGGAACCCCGGGGTCCTGCCCCTCTGGAAACCAGGTCAAGTGTGGGTTTGCAGTGTTAGTTAGGCTGGGATTCATTGGCAAGGCCACGTTTTACCTCCTGCAAGATGGGGAAATGCAGTTCCGACCCTCCCGAAGCACGGAATAAGGCGACGAGGCCGGGACGATTGCGTTCAGGGCTCCTGCTTGAGTCTTCGAGGGACGGTGGGACGGCGCGGCCTGAGGGCCAGGGCCAGGGTAGGAGGCGGCCGCCCACGTCGAGGTTCCGAATGACTGTCCGGCCGCCTGCTGTGACTGGAGGAGTTTCTGCTCGCGTGGTGGGGCCTCGTGTAAGGTTTTATTTGGAAACTGGCGTATTAACGTTTTAAAAATAAAAAGGTAAAAACCGAGCCCCTGCCTTTCGGTGGGGTCGCGGAGGGCTGCCCGGGCCCGCAGAGCTGAGGAAGGTCAAGGGCCTTGCCTCCCGTGAGACCTGGCGAGGGAGCCCGGCCCGGGAGGTCTGCCCGTGGGCCTGGCTTTCCCGGCACTGGCTCCCCGCTCTCCTGCCACCTCACTCATCGGCGCAGTCCCGGTCTCCACGCCAGCGGGGCCGAACCCACGGGAGAGCGCCTGCCCTGGGCCCTTGAGCGAGGCCTGAGCACCTGCTGTGGCCAGGAAAGAATGGGGCCAGCTGCTGAGATCGGTCATCGCCGTGTTCTTACCTCCTGTGGCATTGGGGGGCTGTGCCTTGAGGGCCCTCCCGGCAGTGCTGGGGGTCGGAGCGTTCTGTTTTCATGGGGACCCAGCACTTCTGGAGCCAGCACTCACTCTACATTGTGAGTGTTGTCGGCCCAAGGAGTGGCTTCTGAGCTGGCAGGTGCTCTCTGCAGGCGCCAGGAGACAGCACTCGAGAGCCCGCCAGGCCCACGCCTGGGTGGAACCCTCACTGCCCACGGCGGCCCTGGGGGCCGGGCGGGGCACCCAGAGGTGATGCTGGCAGTGAGGGGCAGTGATCCAGGCCAGTTTCGCTGTACCGCGTGCAGACTCCCGCCCGCCGCCTTGAGAGCAGTTGGTGCCAGGTGAGGGTTCATCCACTGTCGGCTTCCTTTGAGGGCCCCAGGGTGACAGGGGGTGAGCGTCTTTCTCCCGGTGCCCCTGAAGTGCACGCACAGCCTGCCTGTCGCCCTCCTGGGCTGGGAGTGCAGATCCGCTCGCCCTGGGCGGCCCTGGAAGGTGCGGGGAGGGCCACCTCCCCAAAACGCCCGTCCTCCAAGTGGAATTGGGATTGGCCTGAAATGGGCATGCAGATGCCGTGGGCATGGCTGGGCTGCACCACGGCGTCACCGTTCATCAGGGCGAGCGGCGCGGGTCTGCTGTGCCGCTGCGGCGGGCACACTGGCACTTCGGAGGGGCCTTGCCCAGCCAGCGAGGCTCAGGGCGGCGCCGCCGAGACCCCGAGGGTCCAAAGGCTCGCAGCGCTCCCCGGCCACTCCCCACCCTGCTTCCACCTGGTGCCTGCCAGGTTGAAGCCGCAGGCCTGGAGCGCTCTGTGAGGGTCTCGGCCCCACGGAGGGACCAGGGTCTTGAGCAAGTAAAGGGGCGGGTGAGTGAGCAAGTGTCTCGCACCTTGGGGAGTTTGGGCTGCGGCTGGGAACACAGAGCTGTCCCTGATGGCTTGGCCGGGACAGCCCGTCCCCCACCCCGGATTCCAGAACTGTCATCTGAACTGTGTTTACAGGGCCCAAAGTTAAAGATAGCGAGGCTTGGAAGCGCATCAGGCCAGAAAGGGCCGCTGGCCCTCGGGCCCCACGCAGGGGCCTGCTGTGTCCCTGGAGAAAGGTGGGGTGGGGATGTGGACGCCTGTGGGAGATTTGGTTAGCCTGAACGAGTGCTTGTGCGTGTCATCAAGATCCTGCAGGAGTGGAAATGTCCCAGCCCCGGCACCTGAGTTTCCCTGTCACTGAACTTGACTGTATGAGACGCTGGCGATCCCCCAGTACACCCTCGCCCTGCCCCGTGCCCCCATGCCCTCGTTAAAGCCCATCAGGCTGTGAGTCAACTGGGTCAGGTGTCGCCAACCCTGGGAAGCCTTCCTGGATTACCAGAGGCACAGCCCGGGGGTCGCTCCTGCCCCGCCTTTGTGTTTCTTGTTTTCTCAAGCCCTTCCTGGAGTGCCACCTGCACAGACAGTCCCCACTGTAGCCCCAGTGCCTTAGAGAGGACCTGACGCACAGTGGCATGTGTTGAGCGAATAAATGAGCTCGGGGCCCATGAGGGGCCTGCCTAGCCAGGGCAGTGGGCGGGGGCGGGGGCAGCTGGTAACAGGGCCTTGATGCCCCAGTGAGCTACTACGCCAGTGGGCAGTTGCCAGAGACTTTCAAGCTAAGGAAAGGAGTGACCCTAGTAAGCCTCTGGCCACAGTTGAAGAACAGGCTGGCACGGGAGGTTATGGGGTGTCCGGATGAACATGGGGAGTAAGAGCTGGAATGGAAAGAAGCTGATAGATTTTAGATCTTGGGGCTGCCGAGATTTGGTGATTTGGGGGTAGAGAATGGGACAAGAGGAGTCAGAACTGACCTGGGTTTGGATGGAGCCAGTGGGGTTGTGACCGACCCGGCTTCAGGCGCAATCACAGATCAGAGTGCTTTGAACCGAGCGTTCAGTCCTGCAGCATTAAGATGTTTGGCGCTTAGCGATACATCTACCCCGAATGTTCACACTGGAAGAGGAGACAGGTGAATCTCGGTTGGAGCCTGTAAACTGCGCCCCGGGGCCAGGCCCCCCTCCTCGGCGGTGTTCACAGCCTGGGAGCTGCTTTCACACCCCAGCCCGCTTGGCTCCCACGGTCTGAGATATTTTTCTGTTTAGCTCTCTGGACACAGCGTGCCAACCCCTGCTCTCAAGTTCTGCTTCGGGAAGTTAGAAAAATGAGCACAAGTTAAACCCAGTCAGTGGAAGCAAGGAGAGAATAAGTAAGGTGTGGAGCCAGTGAGGCAGAAGAGGAGTGGGTGAAAATCAATCAAAGCTGATCCATTCAAAAGTTAATAAGGTTGGAGATGGCACATGGTGGGTGGGGGCCAGGGCCAGACTGGGCCCGTGGGCCACCGGCTTGCGGTCGTTCCTGGTTCAGCCCGGTGGCTCCTTCCGTGACAGGTCACAGTCACTGGGCTGCGTGGGTGGTGGCTGGGACCCAGGCCTGTGGCCTCGGGTTGCCACTTCTGGGCAGCCTCCGTTTTCTCATCTGTAAAATGGGGCTAATGGTACCCGTTGCTGCTGTGAGGCATGAAGGGTTTCAGTGAGCCGGGTGAGGGGCCCAAGGACCCCAGGCGAGTCTCGGGACACAGGCACTCGGGCAAGGCCCCCACTGAGCTGTCAGCTCCTGTGGACAGGAACAATTTTAACTTCGCTTGGAAACTGGAAACCCAGGCAGCCTCCCAGAACTATAAAAAGTCAAGTGTCCACCGAGCAGGTTAAAAATAAAAGAGCCCAACCCCGGGCAAGTGGGGCTGGCAGAGGCATCGCTGCAGCGGGATTTGCAATGTGACCTGAAGCAGGCAGTGCCCTCTGGGCTCACGTCCCCCGCAGCTTGGCCTGCAAGATTTCCAGAGACCCAATTTCTGAGGGCATACAAGACCCTGTTACTGCTCTCAACAGGGGCTGTTGGTGCAGCCCAGAACCTGTTGCTCTTTGGGGCCACCACCTACCTTCTGGACTCGGGAGGAACCCCAAGCTCAGCCACAGCAGGGAGTCTGGAACTGGTGCGGAGGGCGCCCCCTAGGGGCAGCGGGTGCTCACTGCGCCTGGATTTCCACAAATGAAATGCAGACGCCAGAGCGCAGACACAGGGCCTGTGCCCAGCAACTCCACACCGCCTGGCATCCCTCTGGCTTCAGGACTTTGCCAGGGTGTACCCTTGGCCTGCATAAGCCTTTCCTCCCTACAGGGAGCCTCCCAGCCCCCCCACAGTGTCCCCTGCAGCCCATCACACTTAGGACCACCCCAGTTGCACACACCTAACCTGTCTGAGACCTGTGTCCCTGACACGTGGCAGGTGCTCAACGCACACTGTGTAGTGAACAGATGAACGAATAAAGAAATGAATGGGACACTCACCAGTAGGCAGGAAGCGAATGTGGAGTCAAGAGTTTTTTTTTTTAAAGATTTATGCACACAGAACTGGGGTACAGGCCAGAAGTGCAGAGGGTGAGGGGATTTGCCATTGACAGTGGGGAGCAGAACAGGCAGACTGACAAAGTACACTGCTGAGGGGAGCGGTGGGGAGACAGGAGAAGTCTGCTGTGCCATGTGGGTCACCTCAGGGGCGGGGGATCGAACTTGCGCTGAAGCAGCTGAGGCTCGCTTGCAGTGCTGTGCCTTAACCCATTGTGCCACCAGGGAGGATCTTTTAAGAGGTTATTTAAAGAGAAAAAGCCTTGAGCATTACTTCAAACTCATGTATGGAGCACCTGCTGTGTGCCAGGCACTGGGGTCCAGTGGTGACGTCAACATAAAAAGCTCCTGTCCACAGGAAGGCATGTGACAGTGAGCTCGTCTAAAAGTGCTAAATATTATGGGAAAATAAAGCAGAGTTGGGTCCTACGGTAAAATAATCGTCAATGGGTGTTTACAGATGCCTCCGGTGAGAGGCTGACGTTTAAGAAATGGTCGCTAGGAGGTGAGGCACGAAAGAGGCAGGGGCATTCCAAGCAGACAGCATATGCCATGATCCTGGGCCAGGAACTGGGCTGGTTGGAAGAAGAGTGAGGAGGCCTGTGTGTTGGGGGCGAGGGAGAGAGCAGGTGAGAACTGGGAGGGCCGTCACAGAGCCCTCTGCTGGTGCTGTGGGGGAGACCAGGCCCGCCCTCTCCCTGAAGCAGGCATGGGGCCTGCGGTGGAGGTGACTGCTGGCCATGTCAGCACAGGGGGGGGCGCATCAGCAGGGGTACAAGAGGGAGGGGAAGTGAGCAGGTCACGGACGTGTTTTTGAAAGGAGAATCAGAACTGGCTGACAGTCTGTCCGGGATGATTCCTCAATTCTAGATGAGCAGGTACAGGAGTTTTCACCAGAAAGAGGGTGGTTTGGGGGAAGTATGTTTGGAAGGCTGTGACGTGTTGGGTGTGAGGCCGCCGAGGCCATCTGTGTACAGATGCCTAGAGCGACTGGACCCCAGTGTGGCACTTAAGGGGAGCAGGGCTCAAGACAGGACTGGGCGTCATCAGAGGTGCAGAGCAGGGGTTAGAGCCCTGGCGTGTGGGTGTGGAGAGGACAAGGGCGAGAGAGGTGGGGGGCAAGCCAGAGGAGTGGGGGCCCGAAGAGGTCCCAGGAGGGCAGAGAACCTAAGTCAGCCACTGCCTGGAGAAGGCGGAGGGGGACAGAGACCTGAAGTTGCCTCTGACCTTGCCGAGGGCGGGGAGAGCGGTGGTGTGGGTAGGTACAGGGGCTGGGCTGGAGGGCTTCTGTAAACTCCAAGCTGGGAAACCCTGCAGCAAAGGCCCGGCTGGCCCGCTCTGGCTGCCCTCTCCTCCCTGGGGCCTCTACCTGGTAAGGCAGAGGGCTGGCGGGCCTGGCCTTGCAAACCGGGCGCTCTTCCTCCTTTCTGGCTCTGTGGGGCTTTGGTTTCCTGTCCCAGGCCCTCTCTGGCCCAGGTCTGGGTCATTCTAACCTGCGTCTTCAGTGTCAGGGCAACCCTGGCAAAGGCCCAAGGGGAAGCAGAGCTTCTAGAAGAAACAATAAACAGACACTGGCCTGTTCCTCACCATCCATCTGCACTGCAAACCCTGCCCTAGGCACTTCCCTCATCCCACTGCTGTGCTTCGCGAGGTGGTAAATCTAACCCGGGGACCGGACATTCTGTGCAACCTCTGAATGTGGGTGGAGAAGCCAGAGAAGGGTCTTCTCAAAGAAAAGTGGAATGTCTCATGTTTTCTTTCTATTCCCCAGTTGATCGTCTGACCGAGTCTCTAGACACCCCGCTGCTCTAGATTTCAAGGGTGCTTTTCATGGCTACGAAGGGATGGTTTCTGGTGGAAAACTACGAAGCCGTGAAAAAGGAGGGCACACTTATGTGCCAGAGTGACAGGTGCTCTGGATGGAGTTTAAAACATTTTTGAAGTAAGGTGCTCAAAGGTTTCACTGAGAACGTGACACTTGGGCAGTGTCCTGCGGAAAGTGAAGGAGCTAAGAGTGAAGGTACCTGGGGGAAGGTAAGAGCCCAGGGCCAGGATCAGGTGGGGCATGTCGGAGGCACAGTGCGGAGACCCATGTGGCAGAAGCAGAGGGTTCACAAGGGAGAGGCAGGAGATGAGGGTTGGGAGGGAAGAAGGGTAGGTCATGCAGGGACTTGTGGGGGGCAGGGGGGGGTTGGGCTTTCACAGCCTGGGAGGTGGGGATCCGGGAGGGCCTTGAGCCTAGGAGGCTGGGCCCTGATTCAGGTGCTCACGGGCGCCCTCTGGTGACCAGATTGGGGAGGACACTGGGTGGGGGCCTGGGTTGATCTACAAATTAGTGTTGTCTGGGGAAGAACTAGGTGGCTGGGGACGAGGAGGGAAAGCAATTAACCCCAGTTGCTCTTTGGTACTTTCTGAATTTTGAACCACAAGAATCTATTTCTTGTTTAAAAAAGGGTATTAAATACACACCGGTCGATTGCACATTTGCATGCAGTGCCCTATGGCTGGGAGAGGGAAATGGGGGGGCTGTTGTGGGGGTACAGTGGCAGATTCTGCCAGCTACCCCTTGTCTCTGCAGTGGGACATCCAGACCATGCTAGAGATGCAGAAGATCTGCAAGCTTCAAACACTGTGTTCCCCCAGCTAGTCCCTGCCCAGGCTCAGCTGCAGCTTGCATCGCTGTGTGTCTCTGGGCCAAGCACTGCCCCTCTCTGGGCCCCGCGAGTGGGAGAACAGTTGTAAACTGACCAACCCTCTCAAAAGACATTACAAGTGGACACTCAACTACTGACCTTTGAAAATCTATTTATTCACATTTTATGACTTAAAGGAGGGAGAATTTTTCCAGTTTCTGTGCCTATTTTCTTTAAGATTGTTCCTCCTAGAGGGAACAAGGGACTTCCCCTAGTAACGCCATGTGGCCACCTGGGCTGGCCGCCTAGCTGGCAGTGGCCACCAGGGGGTGCTGTAGCAGCAGGAATTGCGACCAAGTACCTGACTGGGGGATTGTGGGCTCCCCTACCCCGAAGTTGCTCCAGCTCCCTGATAGCCCCTCGCGGCCTGTGCCCACCTCTGGGAAAAGCTTTCCTAGTCCATAGCTTATTCCAATTTACACCTCAGGTTAGCCTCTCCAGAAACTTCTCTTAATCCCTCCAGGCTGTTCAGGGGTCCCCTTTGGGCTACTTTTCCCACATCACAGACAGGACCATCCCATCATTGAATCAGGAACCCCGAAAGGTCAGAACAGAGATGGCTGGGGCCAGCTGGGGCACGGGGTTCCCCACTCAGTCACCACTGTGCCCACAGAGCTGAACGCAGTAGGGGCTTTGTGAATGTCGGCTGAGGAAATGGTTGGGTGCACCTGCAGCCTTCCTACTCACTGACCCCTGAGCTCCAGGAGGCAGGCAGGAGGTTCTGTGCCCCTGGCACCCAGGACAGCCTGGCACACAGCAGGCGCCCAGAGGCTGCTCACCAAAGGGGTTCAGCTCCTGAGCGCCCATAGCATGTCCTGTCCTGTGCTGGCTTCTGGGAACACCAAAGTGAGCAAGACAGCCGTACCCCAGGCCTCAGGGTGTGGTGGAAAGCCAGCAAGAAATTGCCACATGAGCAAGAATAATCGAATAACTAAAAATCGAGGCAATAAATGAACAGGGAAGAGCGCATTGATCTTCACCCCTAGCGTATCCTCCCGAATCCTGGACATCAGCGGTCAGACAGACAGCAGGTCACTTCTGTGAGTGTCCCGTATTCAGACAACACATCAATGCTCAGAGACCGGTTTCCACATCCTCGCCCCACATGCCCCATCTCGGAAACTAGCCTGCAGGGTTCGACTAGGCTGCACCTCAGCAGTGGGAGTGAGAGACAGAGATGAACCCCAACAGCATCCAAGTCAGGGTCTAAAATAACAGAGGAGACGGGCCACCGGGCTGCCTGGGGACTCACGCCAAGCCCACCCTCCCTCAAGTCCGGCTGGGGGCACCATTGGTAGGTGGAGGCTTGATGGTCAGCTCGTTCAAATTCTCCCTCACGGCCCTCCCCGGTGGCGCAAGGGGTTAAAGCTCAGCACTAAGAAGCTGTCCACAGCCACTGAGACACAAGGTCACCCACAGGGCACAGCAGACCTCTCCGGTCTCCCTGCGCCTCTCCTCAGCAGTGGATTTTAGTCAGTCAGCCTATTCTGCTCCCCTCTCTGTCTCTGGGGAGTCCCCTCACCTCCCCCACCCCCACACTTCTGACCTTCAGCCAGCTCTTATATGCATAAATAAGTAAAAATAAGTTTTTGGAAAATTCTCCCTCCATTACCGCCTTTGCAAGTTCAGTTCCTCCTATTAGAATTGTCTCACTTTCTGGCTGTGTGTCTTTGGAAGACAGAATTCACCTCTTTGGGCCTCAGTCTTTCCCTTCTGTAAAATGGACCCAACAAGGCAGCACCCACCTGGAGGGTCACTTTTGAGGGTTAAAATGTCTCAGTAAAGCTTTCCGAGTTGATAAGTGGTGAGGGGTCAGCACATGTCAACTCTCTTCTTATTCCCAGGGACCTGTGCCTGAGGAAGGGGCTTCCCCTCCCTGCTGGCACGCTCTGGGGAGCGCGTGCTCACTGCCTGGCGTGCTACTGGGGGGCTGGTGATCGGCAGCGCTTCCTCATAAGCCCAGAAGGACCCAGGTTAAGAACCCAGCTTAGAAGGCAGAGGGGGAAGGCTCTTCTGAGCAGCTTTGCTGGGGCATCAAGGTATATGCCCTCCGGCCCTGCCCCCCAAAAAGAGCAGCAACAGTAACTGCTTCATGTCCCCCAGTATCCTTCTCTGTCCCTGGTTAGAAGTAGGACCTTTAACGAGGCACAAGGCCATGAGAAGATTACACTTCCCACATTGCTCCACGGCGGGACAGGTCACGTGGCTGGTGCTGGCCAATGAAGTGAGAACAAACACACAACTTACTTCCAGTTCACACTGCTGGGGAGGGGCAACCTCCTTTCTGGACTCTTTCTTCTTTGTGCAAGGAGCGAGGGGGAGGGGGAGCGGAGCAGCGGTGGGGGAGGTGGGAGGGGGGTGGCACTGTAGCCATGTTTTTATCGCCACAACCCAGGGAGGTCTCCCGGAGGACAATGGCCCTGGAGAAGCATTCAATAAATATTTATTATAATTAAAATACCAAACCAGTACCCCCCAGCCCCTTCCCCAGTACCACCGTCCAGAGAATCTGTAAACACCGCCTTCTATTCTGGCCACCCCCAGGCCTGAAAGTCACAGACGCCCATTTTGCACTATTTCCTAAGAGACGAAGCCGAGTCCTGACAGCAGAGAGACCCCCGTCCCGCCCACTGTCCCGCCCGGGAGATGGGGCGTTCCAAAGCCAGCGCCCAGGTCACCAGGCCCAGACCCGGTCATTCTGCTTCCCGCGTGCTGTCCTCGGTCTCCGGGGCCCCTCTCTGGTTCCACATGTGGTTGTTGAGTCCCAGCTGCACCATCTGGGCATGGTGGATGATCAGAGGCTGCAGCCCAGGGCTCTGAGGGGGCACCAGTGGGGGCTGTGAAAAGGTGGGGGGCTCCTGGGCGGCCGGCGGCGGGGGGATGCCAGCCGGCCAGGAGGGCGTGAGCGGCGGCAGGGGGCCAGGCCAGGTGGGAAAGGGCGAGGGGCCTCCCGGGGGCACGTGGGGCGCAGCAGGCCCCTGGGCCCCCGGCGGCAGGACGTTGGCCAGGGCGGCCCGGAGCTGCTCCACCTGCGCCTGCAGGGCCTGCTGGCTCCGGGCATAGGCGGCGTAGGCCGAGCTCAGGGCGCCCACGTGCTGCCGCTCCTGCTCCAGGCGCTGCCGCTGCTCCCTCAGGGCCTGGGCGTCCTGCTCCCTCTTCCACAGCTCCCGGCGCCGCTGCAGCTGCTGGGGCTTGAAGGTGTTGGCCACCTTCCTGTGGAAGACCGGAGAGCTCTCGTCCAGCCACACCATGCCTTTGAGCAGGCCACAGGCCTTGGGGCTCAGCTGGTCCTGGGCGCTCTCCTCGGGCAGGAAGGGGATCACGCTGTCGTGCCAGTCGTGCCGCAGGAGGCTGCTCACCACCGACTGGTTCACCTGGTACCGGCTGAGGTGGCAGTCGAAGTTGGGGGTGAGCAGCAGGATGGTGAAGGCCGAGTGCTGCAGCGCGTCCTGCAGGCAGTGCAGCTGGCCGCGCCCCGGCACCTGGAACTCCTCGCAGAACGTGGCCCCGTCGGACACCCCGAGGCCCTCCAGCTTCTCCCGCACGCGCAGGGCCACGTGCTCGTCGGCCCGGGCGTGCAGGACCACGAAGTTGTAGAATTTCTGCCCCTGCGACTCCACTTTGGAAGTTGGGGCGCAGGGCTCTGGGGGGGCTGGGGGAGCTGAAGAAGGCGCTGGCGAGGGGCTGCAGGGAGGGGGCACTTGGGCCTGGGGAGCAGGTGGGCGGGGCGGGGCTGCCCGGCACGTACTGTCTTCTACAGGGCCCTGGAGTGGTGTCTGGTCTGCGACCGAGCTGGCGCTTCTGGAGGGTGAGGGGAGCGATTCGGGGGCTTCTGTGCACACCACAGAGTAGGGGGGACTGGTTTGCAGAGTGTCAGAGGGGCCCACGAGGCTGGCAGCTGGGGGCACCTCAGGAGGCCCGGGCGGCGGGCTGCTTGGGGGCGCCTGGGAGGTGGCAGGCTCCAGCCTCGAAGGCCAGCTCATCTCCTCGGGGTGCTGGCAGACAGGCCGGGGCTCCACACTGGGCTGGGGCTCCACACACAGCTTGCTGGGCCCAGGGGACCTGTGGGGCAGGCTGAGCAAGGGCATGGTGGGGGACTGGCTGATCTCCAGGCCGCTGGCCACAGAGGCGGGGTTGTCTGTGGACTTCAGAGAGTGCCCCCTGCTCCACCCCGACAGGCCCTCGATGGGCTGCGGAAGGCTGCGGGTTCTGGAGGGCGAGGCCGAGGACGGTGGAAGGCGCCCCAGGTCGGAACGGAGGGGCTGGAAGCCCCACTGGCCACTGTCGAGGTCCCACCCGAAGCGCTGCAGGGCCTCCTCCTGGAGCGCCCGCAGCTGGCGGTCGTCCCTGGCGCTGAGGACTCGGAGGGCGGCCTGGTAGGCCCGGTCCCGCGTGGATGCCGCACACAGCTCCTCCTCTGCGAGCAGCTGGTACACCTGGGCGGTGGCCCAGGGCAACTCCGAGGGCTCCTCCGAGGCCCCAGCACTGTCCACACCAGCCCACTGGCGGGCTACGAACTGGGCCACGGAATCTGTCTTCTGCGCATCCAGGGAGATCCGGGCCTCCGTCTCCTGGCCCAGCTTCAGCAGGACCATGGCGTGCAGGAGGCCCACCCTCGGGCAGCCCAGCCGCACGGTCTTCAGCTTGTGCTTAAGGTGCAGAAGCTTGTCCCGGCCCGCGGCCTCCAGAATGGCAAAGGCACCAGCGAGTGACGGCTCCTCACTGGCCATGGGCACGGGTGGGCGTGGCCTGCAGAGGCAGCAGCGCTGGGTGGTGGAGGCATATTCCACGCTGCTCTACCGCTCACCGAGCCAGGTGTGGAGGGGGCGGCCAGCGCAGACCTGTGAAGAGGAGAGACCAGTTACCGAGAGGGAGGCAGCCCCAGGACGTGATGCCCTCCGCACCCTCCGCTGGCCTTCAAAGGCCACAGCCCATCAGGGTGCAAGGCGTCACCCCGGGCAAGCTGTCCCCTCTCTCAGTCAGTTTCTCCGTCGCCAAAGCATCATCAGCCAGAGGCAGCCACGACTACCACTGACCCCGAACACTGCTTGGGTCCGCGTGGATCCACTTCTACGAGGATTTTCTCACCGGCAGACGACGTGAGCTCACGGCATCGACCCTCCAGCACTGTCCTTCAAGTGTAGTTTTCCTTCCTCGTGATTCTGTTGACATTTTCTTTTCTCTAGCTGACTTTACTATAAGAATCCAGCCCAGGCCCTCCCTGGTGGCGCAGTGGGTTAAAGCACTGAGAAGCTGCAGCCACTTCCGCACGAGTTCGATCCCCGCCCTGGAGGTGACCACAGGGCGCGGCAGACCTCTCCTGACCCGCCCGCTGCTCCCCTCAGCAGTGTGCTTCGTCGCTCTGCCTGTTCTGCTCCCCGCTCTGTCTCTGGTGAAGCCTCTCACCGCCCCTGAGCCTCTGGCCTGTACCCCAGTTCTGTATGCACAAATAAATAAATCTTTAAAAAAAAAAAAAAAGAATCCAGTCCATAGCACACACAAAATTTGTTAACTGACGTTTCTCGTGAGGCCTCCGATTACCCACAGGCGATCGGTCCTCCGGATTTTGCAGGAGCAGGAGCAACCCCGATTTTCTGCGACACAGCCTTCCGAACCCCCTGGCATGCGAAGGGATCGGCATTCCCCATCGACACATGAAGAGAGCGACCCAGAGAGAGGAGCCCGCTCAGCCAGAGCCAGAGGAGGCAGAGCAGGGACCGGGCAGGGCCCAGCGGCTGTCTGCCTAGGTGGGAGGACGACGGCCGGGCGACACTGAGCCACTTACAGGGTTGCTTCAGGAAACCCAGCTGCATTACCCAATGGGAAGTTGGCAGCCCACTGGCTGGATGCCATCGGGGCCCTCATGCTTTCCGAGGGAGGCCGTCGGCCCCTGGGGTGGTCTCAATGACCCCCACATCCTGGTAGTTACAGTCTTGGGGAGTCCTTTTGCAACACTGCCAGGCTGACAGCACAAAGCAGAAGTGACCGGGGCCGCTGAGACGTCAGGTGCTAAGAGCACTGGCTTTCCGGGCGGTAACTCCTGCCCCGCTGTGCTGGGAGCAGCCTTCTGGGCGGCTTGTGGGGCGGGAACTGAGCCCTGCCCCAGCAAGCAGGCCAGGAACAGCGAGGAGACCCCTGCTGAGGCAGAGTGGGCAAGAGGAGGGGTGGAAGCCGGGAGGGGGCAGTGTGGGGCCTGGGGCTCAAGGACAGCGGGAGGGCCTGGGCTTTCCCCCTGACTGAGGAATGGCCTGCGAAACTAGAACCCTCGTCTCCCATGTCCAGGGGGCCCTCCCTGGTGGCACAGCAGGTTACAGCGCAGCACTGTGAAGCTGTCCACAGCCACTGCAGCATGAGTTCGATCCCCGACCTGGGAGGGACCCACATGGCGCAGCAGGACCCCTCCTGTCTCCCCGCTGCTCCCCTCAGCAGTGTGTTTCAGTACATCTGCCTGTTCTGCTCCCCACTCTGTCTCTGGTGAATCCCCTCACACACACATACCCCCAACACCTCTGGCTGTATCCCAGTTCTGTGCATAAATAAATACATCTTTGAAAAATAAATGGGGCCCTCTGGTGGCTCAGCACAGCACTGAGAAGCTAAAGCCTCTTCCACATGAGTTCGATCCCCGCCCCGGAGGTGATCACATGGCCGGCAGACCTCTCCTGACCCGCCCGCTGCTCCCCTCAGCAGTGTACTTAGTCTATCTGCCTGTTCTGCTCCCCGCTCTGTCTCTGGTGAAGCCTCTCACCACCTCTGCCCCTCTGGCTTGTACCCCAGGTCTGTATTCTTTAAGAAAGAATAATAAATGTGTGTAGGAGCCAAGACACAAAGGTGGGAACTTCTGGAGCTTAAGTGAGCTTTCTGCTAGCTACAGAGAGAGATTTTAAAAAAGAAAAAATAGATGATCTTACATTCAGGTGTGACCACAAATCCCAATTCTTTGAAATTGTCAAGATAATTACCTAAAATAGGGCCCAACATCCCCCTCGACAGCGCTGCTGGAATCGGCTGTTCTCTCCTCTTCCCGAGGGCTCCTGGGAACAGCTGGGAACTTAAAAAGAAACAACAGGTGTGTTGGCCTGTGCCCTCCAGTTCTGCTGCTGTTTCTTTTAATTATAATTCAATTTATTTATTTTCTCACATCGCTGTTCATTTGGGACAGCGTTTGGTTTCTCAGGGGCTGTCCCTGACATCCCCCCACCTCGGCACCCACGAGCCATCGCCATCATCCCTCGTGCTCTTCCCTCTCCACCCCCCATTCTGACCCCTCCTGTCTCCTGCTGGCCTCAGTGGTCAGCTTGCAAGGCTTGTCTTTTTCCTGACCCTTGAATAGCTTCTCTAGATTCCTCCTAGAAGCAAAACCACCCGATATTTATCTTTTTCCTTCTGACTTATTTCACTGAGCATAACCTTTCCAGCTCCATCCATGTGGCTGCAATGGCGTGAGTTTATCTTTTTGATCGCCGAGTAATATTCCGCGGTGTACATATACCACCTCTTCTTTTTCCACTCATCTATTTTGGCGCATTTAGATTTTCCCCTCATCTTAGCTACCGTGGATAGAGCTGCAGCAGACGCAGGCATGCGGGTCCCCTTCCGAACGAGTGTCGCTGTGTCCTGGGGTAGCTTCCCAGGGTGGGGCTGCTGGCTCACAGGGCGGGTCCCTTTTGAGTGTTCTGAGAAAGCTCCATGCAGCTTCCTGTGGTGGATGGACCAGTTCACACCCCCAGCAGCGTGCATGCAGGCTCCTTTCTCTCCACAGCCCCAGCACTGTGGCTGCCAGCTTTCCTGGGGCAGGCCCTTCTCACGGGAGTGAGGCGGGATCTCATTGTGGTTTCGATTTGCATCTCCCAGAGGACAGCGATGTTAAACATTTCTTCATAAGCCTGTTGTCCCTTTGCATTTCTTTGAAGAAGTGTCTCTCTAGCATGCTTGCCCATTTTCTGACGGGCTGTTTGCTGAGTGGATGGTGAGTTGTGTGAGCTCCTTTTAGACCTCTGCTGTCAGCCTCTACCCGGTGTATGAAGCACGTTTTCTCCCTATCAGCAGAGTGTCTCTGTTTTGGTTACAGGGTGCACAGGAGCTTTTTACGTTGAGCTAATCCCAGCTGTTTCTCTTCTCCTTCATTTCCTTTGCTTCCGGAGAGGAGTCCCCAAAGACGTTCCTGAGGTGTGTGTCACGGAGTGTGCCGCCTGCGTTTTCTGCTGTGTATTTTATGGCTTCAGACTTACATCCATTTTGAGTTGCTTTTGTGTCTGTGTGAGACAGTCATCCAGTTTCTTTCCTTCGCAGGAGGAGGTCCACGGTGCCCAGTTTCCTTCATTGCAGACGCTTCCCTTGCTCCAGTGGCTATTCTATGCCGCCTTCTTCCTAGGCTAATTGACCACTGCCCTCCACTTCTGAGAGGACAAAGGGCGCAGCTGATAAAGGGTCAAGCGAAGGGCCGGGGCAGGGGTTGAGTGGGCGGCAGGACGCGGCTGTGAGATTTCATCAGGTTCCAGACGTGGGCTTTGGGTCCTACTCAGAATTCAGGTTAAGCGTCAATGAAATATTTAAAGGGGAAAACATTCGCCAAGTCCCAGAGGCCATCCAACTGGCAGCAAAGTGAGATGCAAACGGTTTTTGAATTAGTGGCCAACACAGAACAAAAGACACTGTGTAAACCCCAGTGTTCTGCATTCTTTCAGAATTCAGACAGTGGCTGGCCTGCTCCTCCCCCCTCCCCGCACTGAGCCCATCTGGGAAAGTGGCCTCCGGGCAAGAGAGCAGGGCTGGAGGGAGCCGGCCTTGGGGTTCAGCTGGCTCTTCCCCTGGGGCTGTGCCCTTGAAGGCCTTGCCCCTCCGAGGGACAGCAGACGGAAGGTGGGGTCCCACGGCGGCAGGCAGAGCACGGTGGTTGGTGGCCGTGGCTGCGGGACACCCCGGCAGCAGCTGAGCTGGCACTCACACAAGGGCAGCGAGGCCCAGAGGCGAGTTTCTCAGAACAGGTCGCCACCGTGCCCGACTAGTGCCCGTCCCCATGTCCCTGCTCGTTCACCGAGGCCTGCGCCCCACCGTGACAGCCTTGCCACGCTGTGGGGACAGAGGCCAAGCGCAGTGTGTCCAGGGCCGCTCACAGCCCCTCCGAGCTAGGCCCCAACTCTGGGGAGCCCGCCTTCCTCTGCTCCACCTTCCCCGCAGCCAGGACAAAGTCCACTCCGCACCCTGAGGGGTAGGAGTCCCGTGACACAAAAGCACCCACAAAAACGGCACAAAAGTGGGGAGCGGGGACCCCACTCTGCCTCCTACCGGCGGCTGTGACTCGCTTCTGAGGCTGTTTCCTCGCTGTAAAGCCGGCGTGGGGGGGTGGGGGTGGGGGAGCTGTTGTGGACACGCACGTGACTCTGTCCTCAAGATTCCTACGAAAGCTGGGCCGGCAGGGACTCGAGAATGAGCTATGACAGCAGGAGAGTAAAGATGTGTTTTCTCTTCCTGCTCTCTTTTTTTGACCATGCTGGAACCTGCCCTTTTTCTTCTCTCCTACCTCCGCCCCTCCCACACTCTCTGCTGTCTCTTCCCGGAAATACTTACTGAGACCTGTTCTGCCCAGACCTGCCCCAGGTGCTCCTGCAGGCGGGTCCTGGCCTGTAACTGAGAAATCCACCCCCTGCGGAGCATGAACTGTGCTGTGAAGAGTGAGCCAGCGTGGACACTGGACAGCTGGAGAAAAGCCTGAAGCTCCAGGGAGCTCTGGAGGTGGCAGCTGAACTGAGAGCTGGACAGGGTGGGGTGGCGACTCAGGTGAGGTGTAGGAGAGGGCGTCCAGGCAGAAGGCACAACCGCCGCAGAGGGTCGGGGCAGGGTGGCACCGGCGTGTTGGGGGGACAGCAAGGAGGCCCTGGGGGCTGAAGTGGGACCCCAGGGAAACTTGGGCTGTTACCCCAGAAAGGCTGTGGGCCGGAGGGGAGCGGCTCATTCGGGTGCTGCCCTCCCTCGGGTGGCTGCTGGGGGGATGACAGAGGGTCGGGGGCAGGGGCTGGAAGGGTCACTCGTTGGCTCACTGGCTCACGGGAGCAGTGATGGTGGCGGTCTCCAGGAAGGAGGGGAGTGGCTGGATTTGTGGATAATTTAAGGCAGGAGAGGAGAAAATTCGGCAAGGAGAAGGCCTGGACTTTAGGCCGAATGTTGGGGGTGGGGGAGTGGCAGGCTCGGGGTCAGGAAGCAATCATCAAACAGGTGTTGGCCGGTGTGACTCATTCCATACAGCTCACCCTGGACCCCACCACATGGCTGACTCACTCTTTCCACCCTACCCCTTATTCCCTGCGGCCAAGCCACGCCAGTCCTCCAACACACACTCAGACCTGCCTCAGGACTTTGGCCCTGGCTGCTGCCTGAGCCTGGACCACCTCTCCCAGGTTTCTTATGACCGGCTCCCTCGCCCGCTTTGGGTCTAAATGTTCTCCTCATCAAACCTGAACTCAGCAGCCCCCCCTTAAAATTACAGCCCACTCCCAGACTCTCTTATTTGTCCCTTTCAACGTTTCTCGTTGGACACTATCAGTTTCACCTACTGACTGTTGACTAACCATGTTTCCTAGGGGAGTGAACACCCTTGTTCAGAGCTGAGTGTCCAGTGACTGGTACACAGTGGGTGCATAATAAATACTAACCAAATCAATCCATGAACAGATGGAACAGCACCTGGTATACCGTAAACACTCAATAAAGTTTCCTACTTCTGAACCTTCTGCCCAACAAGTCAAAAAATCTAATCTGCGCCCACCAGATGCACAATTCAGTCAGTTTGGCTAATTACGAAATGTTACAAAACATTAAAGGTGATGCATGGCCAACGTGTCTCAGAAAAATGTGAATTAGGGGGATTGATTCAGCAAGTGTTTATGAACTGTGGTGGGCCAGGCCTATGGGAAGCAAATGACAACCTGCGAGTTAGGACATTTAACGGCCCGCTTACTAACGAGACAGGGAGACAGAGCTAGAGGCTTACTAATGAGACAGGGAGACAGAGCTAGAGGGACTTGCCGTGGGTCACACGCATGGAAAGTCAAAGGACAGGGATTGAAACCAAGGAGCCCGGCTCCAGGGCCCCTGCGCCCATTCACGAGCACCTCCCATGTGCAGTCCCCTCCCATGTTTGGATCTAAGGCCTCCAGCCAGGTCCGGACCTTCTGAGCCCGCCCACAGTTTTCACCACTGTCTTTTTGTTTGCGCCAGCCTCCCCAGGGGCACGGTGACCCCTCCTGTGTGCTAGGCATTGTGTTTCCTGGCGCACAGCAAGTGTTCCACAAATGCTTGAAGAATATTGCAGAACGGATGAAGGTTTCTTATTCAGAAAGGAGCAGAGGCCTCCCGGCAGGTTGGAGAGTTCGCCCTACCCACCCACCCACCCTCACCCACCCTCAGTCTCCTCCATCCAGCCTGCTTGGGTCACATTGGGGTGGTACCCACCCCCGGCCCACCACCTCAGTCCTGGAGAAGGAAGCAACCATGAGGATGGCCAGGGCCACCAGGCTCTGAGCTGAGCCGGGTCAGTACTGGGCTCCCTTGCTGGGGTTCCTGGGCCCCAGCACCCCCCACCCCAGAAGGAATGGGGCTGGAGCTCAGATGCCCACCGTTAGGAACAGGAACCGTTCCCATGTTCCCACGGTGAGAGAGGCTCCCAGGAGCCCCTGGGAAAAGTGAAGATTCAGAGAGGGAGGAGTTGGAGGGGGAAGCAGACGGGGAGGTGGGGGAGGGGATGGAGCAGGCCGAAAAGGAGCTGTGGGAAAGCTCCCAGCTTTGGGAAGAAATCAGAAACATGGGGTGGGGAGTGGGGTGGGAGGAATGTGGGCTGTTGTGGTGCTGGGGAGAATGCCGGGTGTTGGGGCGCAATCAGCGAGTGGAAGGGTTCCAGCGTGTCAGGGAGGGGAGCTGGGGCTTTGCGGAGCACGGAGCCCTCAACACTGGCAGGGACGCCAGAAGTTTCAAAGGGTGGAGACTGCCGCCAGCTTCCTACTCCACAGCTGCCACAGCCGGCTGGCCACCGCAGGCCCGCTGGGCTGGCGTCTGGCCCCCTCCCTCCCCAGGCCCTCACTCCTTCCCCTCACTCCTTCCCCACCTACCAGGGATCCCGGGGTGCAGGCCAGGCCACTGGGCTTCTCGGGAAGGCTCAGGCCTGAAGGCCCCTGGTGTGCCCACAGACACTTCAGAGTCCCGGTGGGCGTGGGCATGGGGCGCCTCCACCCCCAGGACCTTGCCCGCCCCTTCCACGTCAGACCAGAGGGAGGAAGGGAGGTGAAGTCACACTTTCAGCCCGAAGGGGAAAGTCCCGAGACACACACCTCCTTCCCCTCGGCTGCCTACTTGGGCTGCCTACATCCGCAAGTTTGGGCACCTGCTGCAACCCAGCGTGGCACTGGGGACCACAGGGGGCCAGGGAAGAGCAAACCCCTGTCCTGCGGTGGCCCCCAGTCCGTCATCACTGAGTCATCACTGAGTCATCACTGCTTTCCAGGAAACACGGAAGGGGTCAGGGCCTCCTGCAGGGGCTGGGGGCCCCAGTGTTTGGAAGAGGAGTGGCAGGGGTCTATGCTGAAGATCAACTGTGTTTCAGGAGTTGCAGGGCCTTAACTTCTTGAGTTACCTGGACCCAGGCCTGATACTTCCAGCCTGATTATTTTCTTTCAAAACCAGAAAGGAAACCATGAATATAAC